TTCCCTGATGCCACCCACAGTAACAGGCTGTCCTTGAACGCGTTTAATCAATCCTCTATTGAACTAGAATCCGACTGTTTGACTGCAGCATGAAATCTCCCAACATTGTTCCTCACACGCAGATGGAGCCTGAATTGACCCCTGATGCCTCTCAGAGACTGCAGCCAGATAGTTCCATAACTGGAAACTTCTCATCGCGGCAACCTTCATCTTTATCGAGAAGTACCGCGATACCCGAGGAAGGTGCAAGCATGTACAATCGTGCCAGACAACAGCCACGACATTTCAAGAGCTACAGACTGCGAGGAGAGTAAGTTATTATTGCTCACCATTTAACAATCCATATTGACTGGATTGCCTCAAGCTACGTTCAATCATGGGCTGGAGATCCAAGGATGAAGCGGACCAAGGTCGGCAATTGGATCGTCTTGGGATTCATTGCAGTCGGAGTTTGTATAAGCGGTTACATCGCGTATACAGGTGCGGCTGATGCGAAATTGCCAGATGTAAGAGACCTTGGAGCAGATGCACATGGCCTGAAGATCTAATCAACAACTTCAGCAATGTCTCATCATGGAGGACAACTTTCAAACAATTGATCGCAATAATTGGGGCTATGAGATCCAAGTAAGTTACATGTCTGTAATTTCCAACGACTTCACTAATACTAGATTTAGACTGGTGGCTATGGCAACGGAGAATTCGACTGGACTACAGATGACTCGAAGAACAGTTTCGTCGATGCAGAAGGATTGCACATCGTGCCAACGCTTACCACTGAGTCCACTGGTATCACTGAGGACCAGTTGCTCAATGATTATACTCTCAACATCACTAGTTCTGAAGGCGACGGGTCATGTACCTCGAATGATTACAAGGCATGTGGTGTTAGATCCAATGCGACGATAGGAACCATCCTGCCACCTGTCAGATCCGCACGGATGACCACAAAGGGCAAGAAATCTATCAAATATGGACGCATTGAGGTTGTCGCTCGAGCCGCGAAAGGTGACTGGTTGTGGCCTGCTATTTGTGCGCAATGATAATTCTTCTTCCCATGTTAGCAGTACTGATGATGATCAGGGATGATGCCGGAGGACTCGGTCTATGGAGATTGGCCAGCAAGTGGCGAGATCGATATCGCAGAGTTCCGCGGCAATTCGTATACCTACCCGGAAGGTCGAGACTTCGTCGCCTCAACCCTACACTGGGGTCCAGACTACAGGCACGATGGCTACATCGCTACTCATAGCACAGCCTTCCTACGCCGCACAGACTTTGCATCCAGTTTCCATACCTTTGGTTTCGAGTGGACGCAGAACTATATTTTCACATACCTCGATAACAGGCTGAAGCAGGTTCTGTATACCAAATACAGTGATAAGAACAGGCTGTGGAAGAAAGGCGGATTTGCTACTTTGACCACAAGCAATGGGACTCTGTACGAAGACCCCTGGAAGACCGGGGGTGCCAATGCGCCATTTGATCAAAAGTTCTACCTAATTCTCAACGTTGCTGTTGGGGCACAAAACGGATGGTTCTGGGATGGTGAGGGTAAGCCATGGGTGGATGGGAGCGATTTTGCAGCCCGAGACTTCTGGAAAGGTGTGTTGCGGTCTTGCACAATCTACATTTTGCCCTGTGCTAACTCTTGTCACAGCTAGAGATGATTGGCTGCCAACATGGGGCGATGGTGTCGCCCGTGGCATGACTGTCAAATCTGTCAAGATGTGGCAGGCAGGTAAGTGTTAGATGGTCTCCCTGCGGTTTCACTATCTCCCAATAGTCCTTTTCTTCCTGAGCTCCTTTGTTTACAACTTATATATTCACGTCGAATCCCCGGCATGGGATACATCGACTACATAGCGGCTCGGCGCACTTTTCTGGGTACTTGCATTTGTATATGTGTATAGAGTACTCCTCTTATCTTGATCCAACGCATAATTTCAACCATGTTTTTCAGCTACTACTATACCGTGTGCTCAATTCATAGCAAGCAATTGCGAAACATATTTGAACTCTTGCTCTTGTAGCTACTTCAGGCACCTTCTCATGGCTAAAGATAAGCATATGGCTTCATTGCGATAACCGTCATCGTCACACCTATGGCACCGATAAAAGTCATGAATCAAACGCTCGGTAACAAGGACAGCGAGAGGACTGACTCTTCAGCATATACATGTATGATTCATTCGGTGCACCAAGCTCAAGTCGACAAGTTCTTTGTTCTGGTGCTACCTTCCATACCGGGAGTAGTGCATTGTTTTAGTCCGATGTGTTGGCGTGAGGTTCTCAGCAGTGTGTCACCATGACACGAGCCACCCAAAAAATGTAAATATGCAATGTCTGGAACACTTTGAACCATAAATACTTGAAGCTGTCCATGTTAGTTAGAAGCCGGGCTGACACACGGTCACTCGGTTCTTGACAAAAGATACCTCGCAGGATGGGAATTGCCAAGGGGTTTTAAGCTTTGGCCCATGGTTATTGCTTACCGGTTTGGCGGTACAGTTGTAGAAGCTGGTAGGTGAATCCTTGACGAATTGAGAAGTTGAAACTGATGATGCGGAGTTATTACAAATATCAGGAAACACGACTTGCTCTGGTCAGCCCAGGAGTGGGCAGACAGCCTTTATTAGTAAACATTGACCGATCCAAAGCTATCAGGGAAGATAGCGATATGTATTTTCTTGCACATCCAGATCTAATTCTAGTATGATTGACGAAATCTGTTGGCAAAGGTCTCAATCTACTAAACCCGAAACTGTCCAGGCACATTGCCCATGATTATTTGTATCCCCTGTCACTCAATGACCTGATTGTCTAACATGCGTCAAATACTATCAAATTTTCGTGGCAAGTTCAATAGCATACAGTAGTACATGGTAGGTATCAGCACGGTTGTTTACAGCATATACGATAACTAAGAGCCTAATCGGACACCTTCGAACTTCATGAAAAAGATACGTATAATCGAAGCTTCTACCTTCCCCTTCCTCTCTTCGTAGTCGAGTGGGTTTTTTCTGGGAATAACCGCCTTTCCTCCTCTATCTAGAGCAAAACCTAGGTAACCAGGTAGCAAGACCTCAAAGACAATATCATGCCGAGACGCCGAGGCGATCGAATTTACCAAATAATGGAGCCCTAAAGCCACAAGCGCGCGGCTGGCGCCGACCAGGCTTTTCGCTAGCTGTGGCTCATGAACATGTTCCGGTTAGCGTAGCCTCAGCCCCTATTGCCAGCCATGCGGGGGCTTAATCGAAACGTCAGTGCAGGAGTTTGCGCGATGACGAAATAAGTGCTGATGACACTAGAGTAGCATTTCGTTTCTGTACATTATGGAGCCGCGTATCCACTTGAACTTATGCGCGATGCTGAGGCCACTGACCCTGTCCCAAGATATAAGGTATGGTACACGAATCTACCGAACACATAGGCTCGTTAGCAAATGTTATCATCACGGCCGAAAAAAGACGCGCTTTATCGTATCGCGTACAGAATATATTCGAGAGGCATTCTGGTGATAAAATCGTGGCTTGATGTGACACACGCCATAGACTGTATCTGCCAAGCTGTCATTTTCACGATCGACCGCCTTACAACACGCCCATAACGCCCACAGATCGAGCGTTTGTGGAAATGAATAGCCGTAAGATACTAAAACCTCACATTTGAAGTATGCCAAATACTACCAGTAGCACCTACATAGTTTTGGTTCCAAAAAGCTTCCGCTCTAAGTAGCGTACCGCTTGTGCGGAGCCTCATAGCCCGATCGACGATTAGTTTAAATGCTTTACATAGTACCCCCAATTTCCTAGGGCAAGATTCAACGTATGGTCAGGCTCCCCTTGCTCCCAGATTCATGTATAGGAGAACTACCCACGTATGGTCAGGCGGATTCATGCAAGATCCATGGTAGCGAATGCACATCACAACTCTAGGAGGTGGAGCATAACCCTAGACATGACTAAAGACCTTCCGCCATATACTAAGATCTTGCGGCTCTTTCAAGTGTTGCATAAGTTAGGGGTCTAATATGTCAATCGCACCAATGCACTCATGTGACATTATCATGCCCTAGAATAAGTCAGTGCGCTGTTATGACTACGAGAGCACCGCGTACCTTGACGATTTGATCAACCAGTAAAACTTATCAACTCGCACAGTATTCATCGCTTATATGGGTGTGGGTCCTCTCAATATATAACTTCATGAGAGAAGAATTTCATGAGAGAAGAATTTCATGAGAGAAGAATTTAGAATTTATTTACTTCAAAGTAAACTCGTAACTTATCAAAATATCCATAACGTATGTTTCTGATAATTTGATCCTCGGCTCACAGAGAAGAACAAACTTGTAATAATAGCTCTTACAGACTACGTTCAATAAGGCATTTGTATTCCGTGTTCCGTGTACACCAGCAGCGAGAATACGTAGCGAATGACCAAAACCTATGATGTATATTTAATATGGCCATACTTGCGGTTCTCTAGAATTATTTATCTAGAATAATTATTCGTATGTCGCATGTCCGAGTCTTACGACATAAAATGAACGAAGACTTAGCAATCAATCAAAACCTGAGTATATCTGATACTAAGGCACACGAAAGACTCAACATTTTGAGAATAGCTGTAAGAATCCACTTATAACTTCTGGTGAGGATAATGGCAATTATTGCCACCGCGCAAATCATACCTCACTTAAACCTTCTTGTCCCTCTCTAAGCCAAAAAAAAGCCCACGCCATATGAATTATACGAAAGCCTCATCTGGCGCATCTCCGACATCTCAATACCCAGCTAGAATTTCCACCGCTCCAATTCCCCTTCACGTAATGCGTACCTGAACCCATCCTCAAACTTCTTAAGCCGCTGTGACTACTCCCACTGTACCTACTTGTCTATAATCAATCAAGATGGAACATAGACAAGTCTAATATCTCACATCTTTCCAACAAATACCCACACCAACATGTACAACTTCCTATACAGACCACTATCTCACCATCTTAATCAAGCCCCATACTACAGAATTGCTGTACAAAGCCTTGCCAAACGCCCAAACGGAAAAGTATCCATGCAGTAAAATCTAGGGGATACAACTAGCCCTCACCCATCTCACACACACCACGACCCTTACTTAAATTAATTGCATCCATGTCGACACGCGCGCACAGACTGAAGGCCACCACATTAAATATTCCAACTTCCCTCGGTGCAAAACTTTGCAGTGAAATGTACCGAGTTTAAGCACCTTACATCTCTACCACAGTGAGGATACGATACCACGCGTACCAATATGCATATTGAATCGCTTCAAGAAGTGCATAACTGTCACAAGATTTGATTGCCATTTTTCGTGTTTTAGATTGTGATTGATCGGTAGCGTCAAGAGCTTATGGGAATCGTTGGCTGAGGATGGGTGGAGGTATCTATGATGGGCTTGTGGTTGGTTGGCTAAGATGTTAGAGAGGGGTGGTGTGTGTTAAAGGGCGACAGTAGAATTTACTGAATTGGATGGTCGGTTGGGTGGATGAGGTGTGGGCTGTTCTGAAAGATATAGGGAAGGAGAAGTCAGGTAGTGCATGATGGAAATGATAGGCAGTGAGAAAACCAGGTTGTAGCGAATTTGTAGTTTTGGGAATAGTTCCTATTCCAAGTGTGTATTTGTATCTCAACGTATGGAGGTAGTGACTTTGAGATTTTGCGTTCATGATTCATGTTATAAACCGTTGGATCAAAGGATCTCGTCATGGATCTCAAATGCTGCAGGATATGCGGAAAGCATCATGATTGTTATTATTTTCTTACTACATGAATAATCGACTGGGTCTACTCCACATCTCTGGTTATCAGAACTGGAAAATTTAGAAAGTGAGATGCCATACGTCCATCAACCTCTCATTGTTCTCGCCTAGTCCACCGTGGATCACAACGCTGTCATTACCAGTCTCGGCCTTGACAACATCTGCATCAAACCAACCACGCGGATCAGGCACGCCATCAGAGCCAGTAGGATGCAATTTGGTCCACCAGTTTTCGCTGATATCGTAGATCCACGCATCATTCAGCATCTTGCCTGCCCCTGCGTGTCCGAGGGATGAAGGATCTCGTTCACCGAACAGCGTGATGAGCTTGTCTTTACGGGCAAGACGTACAGGCAGAAGGATACAGACACTTCGTGCTTCAGGCCCGTCGTTGCCGTCAGCATTGAAGGTCTTCGTGCTCCAGGTGTTGCTAGAGATGTCGAAGATATCAATGCTTCCGCCTACTTCAGTGGTTCCATCGAAACCATTCATCCTGAACAGCTTGCCGTTGTTATGCGCGATTGATGTACCACCTCTCTGGGGCCCAGGGGCATCGGGGAGCTGGGTCCATGTGCGCTCTTTGACATCGAACTGCCACAGATCACAAAGACGCCCCTTTGCAGGACATCCGGCGTGCAGGAAGAACAACTTTTGATCATCACTGGTCGAGCAATGATAGCTTCGTGCAGGTGGATAGGCCGCCGAGGCATCTGCTGGAGTAATCTTGTACCATGAAGATGATGCTGGGTCGAAACTCCAGACAGCGCCAGCTTCTTCTATGGCGTCCATGTCGGTACCGCCACGACCAGAGAAGATGTACATTTTCCCATTGATAACTGCCGATGCACTCCCAACACGTGGGCTGGGTGCTGTGTATGTAGACTTTGTTTCGAGGGTGGTTGTCTCTGTATGTGTGAGTGAGTACCTTGATGGCCGGTACCGGTATTGGTGGGGGTGGGATGTACCAGGCTGCAGAGAGAAAATGTCGATCTTGTTGTCTACAGGCTCTCGGGGCTTCACTTCCCCACCGAATATGCATACTTTCTGGTTGACCACTGACAGGACTTGCGAAGAGCGACGAAGACGTTCTGTGTCGAGAAGGCGGGTCCATGTGCCCTTAAGGGTGTTGATTGGCAGGCTGGTTGGCATGTTGTTGGTAGGCGACGAGTTCAGAACTTGGAATTCGAATATTGTGCAAAGCGCCTTAATATAGGGATATGAAGTACTGTCTTGAAACAAGTTGAAGAGATTATATAATCAAGTGTGATCTTGTATATTGCGTCATTTCATTCGGCCATCTTGGAGGCGAGGGCGGTTCCACGTTCACTATACGGACTATCTCCGCTCGCACTAAGCCTCAAAACGACTAGCGGTCGATCACAAGGTGATGATACCAAAAAGTTCACCATCAACTTTACACGATCCACCAACGCGACTTGACGCGATTCAACGCGCCCAACATGCGTCTTCGCCTCACCATTCAGCGCAACAGTCTGCCTGCTGCCAACATTCTCTGGAATATTCCAGACACAAACAGTAATGCAGCATACACGATTACCCGCCTCCTCGAAGATGTCAACCACATTATACCACTTGAAGCCGAGAACTGGGGCCTAGAGGACTACATCGTGGAGGTAGACGGTTTCGAGTGTCTGCATTTCACACCTGTGACGCAGGCGCTGAAAGAAGATGATCACGTGTGGTGAGTACTCTCGAAACCATCTAGGTGCGCAGCTAATGGCTTGGTGTGCTAGCATCCGTCCTCTTATGACGGCCGAAGTCCGCGCACGAACCCTGACGGGGCGACTACAAATCTCAGATGGAGGTCAACATCTTGTGGATGGCGTGCCATTCGGGCGACCCTATCTGAGAGCACCGCATCGACCCGCCGTACGAATTCCTCCCCGCAAGCGCCAGCGAGCTGATCAGCACGAGGCAGAGGAGGTTTGGCAAGGCCGCGATTCCGTGGATGCGCTTCTGCAAGGAATGAACTATGGGCCAGTCCAGCAACAAATTGAGGAGGCGCCATCTTCGAACGATGCTGCGCTCTCAGGACCTGCTGGGCTAATACCCCCTCATAAGCGCCAACGACTGAACCCTAGGGAAGGAGCAGAGTCTCATGAGGCTGGAAAAACAATAGATCCACTCCAGGCAGCTTTGGGTAATTCGACTACACAAAACACAACAGCACATGGACACACTGGCAGCAGTCAAACACTCCCCGGCCGCACCGCGCAGAAACCACTGACCAGACAGCAACGTGGACAGACAGGTCAAGTGCATTTCAAGCAGCCAGTTGCAGAAGAGTTGGGAGCCAGCGAAGATGATGAGGATGAGAGTGAGGATGAGGACTTTGCGCCTGGGTACGAGAACAACAACTTTGGGGATACAGATAGTGACTCAAGCGATTCTGAGTCCGACTCAGAAGCATCATCAAGTGACTCGGACCTTTCACGATCAGAGTCAGACTCGGCCTCAGATTCTTCTAGCGCTAGCGAATCAGGTAGTGATAGCAATGCAAGCTCACCACCTGATATTGTCTCGTCGAAAGATGGTTCAAAGGCGCAGGTGAACCCACCAAATCCTACCTCATCAAACTTTGTGCCTCCAGGTAAGGGTCGAGCAGCTACCAAATTACGAAATAGCCGTCGTACCCGCACAAATCGCCTGCGCTATCTTAAGGAGACTGGTCAACTAGATCAGAATGCTACCCTTGCCGATCTGAAGGTATACGAAGATGCGAAGATGGGCAGAGTTGAAGAAGAGCCAATACCCAAGCACGCATTCTCGTCAGCATCAGGCAAGGGTAGTAAGAGTAGGTGCGTAGAAGACGAAGAGCCAACGCAAGCTGTTGCAAATGGACAGCCTAGTGAACTCGAGAAGAGGAGGCAGGAGTTGATGGCGAGACTTGGTGGATCTAGTGAGCCACTTCAGGCAGATGAATCTGCTCTGGACGTTTCACAGACCGTGGTGGAAGTACCCAATGGCTCCATACCCGAGATCTCAAGTGTGGAACAGTCTGCGAAGAAGGAAACATCTACCAGGCGTATGCGACCTGATGTATCTGCCATCGGTCGCATCATTGCTCGTCAGACGGCTCGGCCTGCAAAAAAGGCAAAGACGAAGGCTGTAGACGAGAGTCCTCCTGAGCCTGAAGGAGCGTCGGACCCTGATTTCTGGAGGTCCCGAATCAACTTGTCAGCTTTTGAATGTTGGGAGGAGGAATTTGAGCTGCGCGCGCCGCCCTTTCCGTTCAAGCAACATTGGGACCCGGTTAGCAAGCTTATGCGTGACAGGAAACACAAAGGGAAGAAGAAGGGCTGCGATTTCGAGGCTGCGAATGAATCGCGACGTTTCGATGATAAAGAAGACGAAATCATATTGAACTACGATGATGTTCCAGCACAAGTCAATCCAGATACCGAGATCAGTGCTGCTATCGAGAGCCAGCTTCGTCAAGATGTCGCTACCGCCACACAAGAGGCAGATCTGCCATCTTTACCAGAAGATGTAAGCGTACTGCCAGTCTTAACGTCGGCAGACATCAAAAGAGGTGCCGTCATCGTCTGCAAGTTCTTCGCAATCAACCCCAACACGATCTCCCCTGAAATTAGCGACTACAAGACAGCCGTCGTAGTACAAGAAGGCGATTCTGGTAATGGCGCTGGTACTATACAACTCAAAATTGCTGCGCGCGACTTACCACGGCGCGAGAAAAAGGTTGACAAACACGGGAACCGTATCTATGTTGCCGCTGATGCATTTTTGATGGAGGACGAAGATGACGAAGAAGAAGGATTATGGGAAGGACAGTTTGGTGAGCTGTTGGAGGCGAAGCTGTTGAAGGCCGGAGAGCCATGAAGATAGGTGCTTCGTCGACGTTTGTTAATGGTATTGAGCCTACGGATCCTCTTCAAGCGAAAACAACAACAACCCAAAGCTCAAGGAGTATCGACTTCATCATGGATCAATATACCCCGTTCTCTTCCACGTGCATTTCGACAAATTATTGGGTTATAGGCGAATCTCATCAAGTAGAACGTGCCGCCGACATGGAGTATTTACCCCGCCAAACGCCGCCCCGACCCCTCCACGAGCGTCTGCCGGTGACATACGGCCGCGACACCATCATTTTCAACAGCAACTACATGGAGAGTATGACACCTACAGTATCACACTAACACGGGCGGCTTTGATTTCACAGTGTTCTGTGGATTTACTCTAGGCACGCTTCCTGGAGAGGTCCAACCCCCGATGCAGGCTTTTCTTCGGTACTATTGATCCCCCGACTTAGCCCCCCTCTGACAACTGCCGCGGTGGGGTAGCTTCAGAATGAGGTCTAAGCAGCTTCGCGATGATACCAAGATGCCGTGGAATTGTAGAAATCTCGGGCGATTGTCTTTCCTCCTCTCTTTTCTTCTTGTCGATTCACTCCGTGGATTCTGCCCTTTACTGTCAACACGCTGCAACTTGTATTCCAACTACCAGTAACACTCCACCGTCAGTGAGCCAACCAGACGACCAGCCTAGACAAGAGACTAATATCGCATCAGACAACCATGCCTCTCCCTACCGGTGTGTACAGAGCCGACCACGTCGGTTCCTTCCTGCGCCCCAAGAACGTCCTCGAAGCCCGCACCAAAGCCGCCAACGGCGAGATCAGCGCGACAGAACTCCGCAAAGTCGAAGACGCTGCCATCTCCGAAGTTGCAAAGAGGCAGATTGAAAATGGCCTCCGGTCCATCACCGACGGCGAGTTCCGCCGCGCATACTTTCACCTTGACTTCCTAAAACATCTTGATGGTATCGAAGAGAAGGGCCAGGTCGGAAATATCAGACACAAGGATGGCTTCAGCCCGCCAACCCTCGTGGTCAAGGGAAAGCTTGGGCATCCCAAGGCGATCCAAGTCGAGGACTTCCGATTCCTTGAGCAAGCCATCAAGGATAATGGCGGTCAAGCGACAACAAAAGTCTGCATTCCCTCCCCGACCATGGTGCACTTCCGCGGTGGCCGCGCCAGCATCGACGTCTCCGCCTACCCCGACCTCGACATCTTCTTCGCAGATCTCGCTCGCGTATATCAAGAGGAACTCGCCTCCCTGTACGAAGCTGGCTGCCGCTTTGTACAGCTAGATGACACCAACCTGGCCTACCTGTGCGACCCGGACATGCGCAAAGCTGCCGAACAAGAGCGCAACGAGGACCTGTCCACCCTTCCTCGCAAATACGCAGAGTTGATCAACGCAGCAATCAGCAAGCGTCCCGCCGACATGAAGATCGGTATCCATCTTTGCCGTGGCAACTACCGCTCTAAATGGTTCGCGTCAGGTGGCTACGAACCCGTCGCAGAGGTCCTGTTCAAGGAGCTCAACGTGGATGCCTACTTCCTCGAGTATGATGATGCGCGGTCCGGCGACTTCAGCCCGCTGCGCCATCTCCCAGAACACAAGGTTGTTGTGCTGGGTGTTATGAGCAGTAAGAAGAACACGCTGGACGATAAGGAAGAGATCATCAAGAGGCTTAACGAAGCCGCGGCTATTGCACCAAAGGGCCTGGACCAACTCTGTGTGAGCCACCAGTGTGGGTTCAGCAGTACGGCTGAGGGCAATGAGTTGACAGAGGACGAGCAGTGGGCAAAGGTTAGGCTGAGTGTCGAGATTGCAAAGAGTGTCTGGGGTGAGGATTTGACGAAATAAAGAACAAGGATACGAAAAAAGGAAGGTATGTGCGCGACAGGAAATGCTACTCAACTTTAGCACCGTAAGACATAAGAAATAAACAAAAACTTTCAACATGTGTAATGACTGAGCCTTCAAAGTCATCATTCGCTTGTGATCTCAAGACTTACTGAATTGATTTCCATAAAGTTCATGTCTGTATCCTAGTATCGGAGCACATACAATACCAGCGTCTTTCGTTGTCTCAAACATAAACATCAGTATTGTAAACCCACAACTACATGCACTCACCCACATACCTCCCCACCGCCACAAATAACATGCACTTCAATGATCTTGTTTTTGGGCGAAGGGAGAGCCGGGTAGGGATCAAGTAGCATTGAGGACCATAGCGTATCATATTACCCAGACTACTGTGTCAGTGATGTAGCATGAGAATACGACGGTTGCACTAGTATTTACACGCCAAACAACTTATTCGTCATTACCAAAAACGAAAGTACACCCACGAAGTGAGAGTGCGCATTATCACTGCAGAAAGGGTGATTCACTCCTACTCCTCCCGTTCCAGCATCGCCTCATCAGCATTTACAAAGGCGGGGGGGAGGGGTTTCCAGTAAACATCTCTGTTGCCGGTTCAGCCCCAATCTTTCCCCTTCAAAAAGCGGGATACACGGATTGCGCCGATTGCTTTCTTTCTTGCTGGATGCTACGGCCTCGGGCACTGGGGCAGGTAGTATGATATCGGATGTGCTCTGGCAGGTCAGTCTCCAGGCGCATCAACAGCATGTCGTTCACAGGTCCAGTTTCATCGTGCAATTTACTTTATTATACGAAGGAATACAGCGTGCTGGAAAGAGAACCTCTTTGTGTAGTGTAGCGTGGAAGTTGTGAGGTTACGAATGTGTCTTTGGATGTATATGCTGTATAACAATCAGCTGAAGTGGCTTGCGGGTAATTGCGCGGGTACCTAGCTTTGGAGTCGTCATTTGGGGTACTGAGATCTATCTCACCATTATCGTCGTGAACGTCTTCTGAGAGCCTATGACGTGCCGCTTCTGACTTCCCGTCTTCGGGCTGTATTGATTTATGCGACACTTCCAAGGCTCTTAATTCTTTGCGTATGACTTCTGACGAGATTGCTTCCATGAAGAGCGGCTCGTTAGGCTTGTATCGTGATCTGCTGGATTTATGTTCTGATACGAATGTGTTTGACACCTCAGATTCGCAGGGCTCTATGTACATGTCTGTGGATATCACACGGCTAGTTGTGTACTTCATCTTCACAGGATGAGGCCTGGGATTTAGATGTCTTTGCTGATGCTTTTGGTTGGGTTGCTGGACATGTTGGTAGAAAGTTCAGCCGAAGAAGTTTGTATAGGCTGGGTAGAAGCGGGCGATGTTGTACTAGGAAAAAGCTCTAAAGTGCACACCATTGCCCCCGAGAGATGTTTGCTGATTTGAGTGCTTGTTTGGGGCAAATGATTCGACGCGTGAACGGTTCGCTGCGTATATAAAGCGTGATTTTCGCAACTTGACAGCCTATTCCTAGTATCAGACGTACAAGTCATGTTTCTTCTCTGAACGTTGATGGAGTTGTGTATAAATATTCAGAGATAAAACAATGTTGAGTGGCCAAGGAGTATTGATTGAGAAAGAATGGAATAGTGACTCTGCTGAGTTGATTTGGGGGCAGTTCTGGCCTATTATTTGCTATCACGACGGTGATTGTTGGTGGTGGAATGTGGAAATAGTCCCGATATCAGGGCCTCCACGGACTGGTTACAACGACCTCCGGGGAAACGGTCATGATACCGGTGTGTGCTTTCAGAAACGCGCCTCGCCAATCAAGATCCTCTCGAAGCTATTTTGAAGTGAGACATAAACATTGGTATATGTCCATGCCCTCTCACAAGGGGTCGGTCAGGCTGCTCCCGATCTCATGGGCAAGACTACGGCGAGCTCAGTCCATTCAAAACAGCTAGATGAAACAGGTCTCTTGGTTGGTACAGACTCGTGCGAAATGCACTCAATGCTGTTTGAGCGTCACAATGTCGGAGATCACGAGGGGGCGTTTGTCGGAGGTGAAAAGAGGGCGATGTTGTACCGACCAAGATATAATCTACCTCACTTCTCGCTCCAAGTTCAACTCAACGTTGGATACCAGTTACAAGCCAACAACAGGTCAACCTGGCATATCGCCACCAAGTCGGACTGAGACATCTCTTGAAGACAATCTGAGACATATCGAGAGAATATGGAGGAACTCAAAGGGGGAAATCAGACCAAAAAGTTTCTAAAAGCTTTGTATGCAACATACGGAGAATGGAATATTTACAATTCCCGCTACTTCAGGCCATCCATTCGAAACCTGACGAATGGAAGCGTGTCTTCACGTGAACACCACTGTGATCAGTGTAGTAGTAATCTCACACGATCTTGTTATGAGAAATTACAGTATGTCTCTCAATGCAACAATGTAAACTGATCAGATCGAGCGCTAACGAAGTCCAGCCATGCTTATTGCAGCGAATGGGAAACCCGAGAGAGAGGAGGGAAACGCGTACGGGAACGCTGTGGGGAGAGATTTGCGATTCGCTCGGGTGGCTGTGGTGAACATTCCCGTGTAAAGGGTTATAACAGTTGCTTATATCGTCTGGCAGAAGGTCTCGATGTGAAGTTATCGGAGTTCGACGACCCCATCAACCGCGACCATGACCAAGGAGCCGAAAACAACGACCTTGAAGACAACCTTCAAGACGAGTTAACCGAGCTGAACGAACTAGCGGAGTCTCTGATTGAGAAGGAAGGATTTCTGCCTGTTAACTTTTATGACAGTTACTGGAAACACAAGGACAGACAGCAGGAATACGCGAAAAAGGACAAGAAGGGTGCGGCGGAGAATAGTCTCGAGACGACCGAAGAGAAGTATTCCGCCTCTACACGAGGCTACGATGGCATATTGAAGAATGGAAGCTACAAGGCCAACAAGTTGTATAGGCAACCGATGAAAAGGATAGATCTTCGTAAAGTGGCCCTGATGGAAGTGGGTCGCACGGCATCTCAGCCTCCTGTAGTCAAAGATAAGCTTACTGCGAAAGAGAAAGTCGCAGAATGGTGGGCTAATTGCGAGCAACAAAAGCAATAAAACAGATCAAAACTTTACAACATGTCTGCTGTGCAAAGTTCAAAGACATTAATGCCTTCTCCGGATAGAAAGCGGAATTGTCTCACTTAGATCGGTAGTTGACAGCCCTCGGCTATCTCAATCCTTTTCTCCTCTTTTAGCTAGTGGCTTTGGTGTCGGTGGGTCTCTATATACATGTATGCGACTTATAGACAATGATAACAGCAGATTGATTTTGGCCTGAGGCACTGGTACAGCGGTGAGGAGCAATTTGATATTACCAAATAAGAGCATAAGCCTGTACCTGATTGGATAAATAATTGATTCAAAGACCATTCGAAGTCGTGGACTGAAGTGCCACAAAACGTAGTCGATGGTGAAAATAGGTGCCACGATGTAGGGCTGAGTTGTTGGTACGAGAGTCACCGCTAGTGCAATGCTTGGTCCCCTGCACAGCTCGCTTAGTACCAAACCTCACTACATCATGCATCGTGGCATTGTGCAACGACACTCCATATTCTCTCAAAGCGGTACGGCGTCGATAACAATTGCAACATCTCCACAACATCCCCGCACAGTCATCCGTCTTAGGATGCAGTAGTCGCCCAAACTTGGAGCGCTGCTCTGGCGGGCCTTATCGATAATCGATAAACTAGATGCACGCCACACCACAGACCAAGGCGCATCTTCCCTTTCCAAGACGAGCCGGCGACTCTCGTCTGCTCTGTTTGCTCTTACGCGAGCAAATCTCACCTAATCTCTTTCACCAGTCCAACTGGCGTGGAAACGGCCCTATGGTACCAGTGATGTGGCTGGAGCTGCCGAGCTCTAGCTTCGGCGGAAAATGGGATATTAGCTGACGGTGATGTAGCTGATCAACCGACATTTCAGGTATGCAAACACAGGCTATTGCTTTGCAAGAACAATGCGAATGCTTTTCCTAATATATAAAACAGTCTGTCTAGGCGTCAGTTTAGCCTTGGACTGACTAGTGGGCGACGTGTCGTTGTTAGTTACGGTATGTAGTAGGTAGTGAAATGAAGATCCTCTGATGTCCAATTATTTCGCCGACACTAGAGTCAAGTAAGAAAGCTCAGTCTGGCATCGTGTTGGCTTCGAGTTAGCTCTGGTAGACACCAATAGGACGCAGTGGGGAACGATGGTGTACACTTACGCTTGACATTGGCTTCGACGAAAACCTAGAATAAGTAAGCACTTTAAAAGGTAGCCGCGGCAACGTCGATGGGGGCCTCTGGGAGAGTCAAGTTCCAGCTTCCCATACTTTATTTGCTTTCTTGCCTTTCATCTTTGGTGATTAGCTGCTGGAAATCATCCAAGATGCCTTTCGTTATCAAAGCTGCAATTTTCAGTGTTGCCTGGCAATCTCTGTATGCGACTACACTCGCCCAGGGCGGATCATGGAGCGCTGTGATCGATTTCCCTATCATTCCCGCAGCCGCATATGTTGTTCCCGAATACCCATCAGCCAGCCGTCTGATGTTTTTTTCAGCATGGTCTCCGAATTCCTTCGGACAATGGCGAGGTTTCACCCAGTTCGCAGAATACAATTTCATGACGGGGGAAGTCTCACAGCGCGAAGTCAGCGAAACGAAACACGACATGTTTTGTCCGGGCATGAATTCTCTAGCTGATGGAAGACTGATCATCACTGGCGGCAGCAATGCAGAAAAAACGACCCTATACGACCCTAGAAGCAACACATTTGCTTCAGGGCCAGATATGTAAGTATTGGTTGTTTTAAGATAGGTCACAGGAGACTTACCATAGAATCGTCTAGGCGCATCCCTAGGGGATACCAGAGTTCGACAATACTCTCAAATGGCAAGGTTTTCACGATCGGAGGTTCCTGGAGTGGCATGGAAGGCGGCAAAACAGGCGAAATCTATGATCCTGCAGCGAACACATGGACTATTCTTCCTGGTGCAGCCGTAGAACCCATGTTGACAATGGACAACAGCGGTATATTCCATGCGGATAATCACCCCTGGCTCTTCCCATGGCGTAACGGTTCTGTATTCCAAGCTGGCCCCAGCAAAGCAATGCACTGGTACTTTACTGATGGCGAGGGTGGTGTCACCCCTGCTGGCATCCGAGATTCGGCAAACGATGCTATGTGCGGCGTAAACGTCATGTATGATGTGGGCAAGATCTTCACGGCTGGAGGTGCGAATTCGTACGGCGATGTCCCAGGTCTCAGTGTGGCCCACCTAATCGATATCGACAAAGTGGGTGCGCCCGCTGTGGTTGAGAAACTCCCCAATATGAAGTACAAACGGGCCTTTGCCAACGTTGTTGCTCTCCCGGACGGTAAAATCCTGGTCAGTGGAGGTCAGCAGTGGGCGAAAGGCTTCACAGACCGGGAGCCCGTCTTTGCTCCTGAACTGTTTGATCCTGCCACAAAAACCTTTACCGAACTATCACCAGAGGCCATCCCGCGCAATTACCACTCCGTTTCAATCTTGTTGGCTGATGGAAGAGTCTTCAGTGGCGGCGGTGGACTTTGTTATGATAATGGTACCGGCGCCATCTCAGCAAAATGTCGCAACACAGTCGATCATCCTAATGGGCAGATATTCACGCCACCATACCTCTTAACAAACGCGTCAAGGCCAGTCATCAGTAACCTTGTCGCAAGTACTGTGGCACCGGGCGGCCAACTCAGGCTTTCTATGGAAGGATCAACGAAGGGTGTGAAATTCTCCTTGATCAGGATTGGCAGTGTAACTCACAGCATCAACACTGATCAGAGGCGAGTGCCATTGTCTCCCAGTGTGGTGGGTGGAGAGGTTGTTTTGCCTATTTTGGCAGACAGAGGGGTTATGCTGCCAGGAGCTTGGTACCTCTTCGCTGTCAGCGCGCAGGGAGTTCCAAGCATTGCCCGAACGATATACATACGGTAAACGCAGAGGTTAGACACATGTGGGAATAGCGGAGCATGAGGTAATAGTATCGAAATGAAATAATGTAATGAGTCTACTATTCGTGGTAACAAGCTGTCTCCACTTGCTACTACTCCTCGAGTCCTGTCGTTCTGAGAACTTGAAGTCGGCCACACATGACTTTAGTTGACTTAGTTCCTGATGAAGGCGCATCTGCGGGGAATTTCCGAGTCGTCTGTATGCCGATTGTACAGTGCAGTGTATGCAACATCTAATATTGCTTTCCAAGGTTCTGACGGGCCGATCGGCGCTAATGCTGTGTTTGGACAGGTTGAGATGTGGTGGCATGTCATATGACCATGGGTTTAGCGTCGGGCGACTTGGGCTTTACTCCGAGTGGTTAGAATATCCCTGTAGGTTCAAGTCCACGTCACAGCGGCAAATTTTTATAGTTATATAAACTAGCCTATAGTTAAGTATAAATTAGGGTAATTTAAGCAAGTAAACGCAGTTTTTATTACTATCTTTTTTAAATATATTCTAAACCTGTTCTTAATAATATATAGGCGTTCCTAAATACTATACTAGAGTTTAGTATAGTAGTACTAGACAACGTATCTAAACTAGATAGTAATATTAGAGATAAATTTAGGCAACTATATAAAGTACTAGAGGAGGATAGTAGTAGTAGCGTTAAGGAAGTAAGTAAAAGTAAATAGAACAAGTTTAGAACAGGTTAGTAACACGTTATAGGGGCACAATATATACCTTACTTATAGTAATAGTTAAGGACCACCACTTATACTAGCAATTATTAAGCATATAGCTATTCTCCTAGCATACCCTTAATTATATAGCTAAGGGTATAGGTATATAATACTAGTTTAGCAATATAAAGATAGCTCTTACCTAATAAGAGAAGAGGTGCTTGTGCAGGCTACATAAGTAACACGTTAAGAACATGTTCTTAAATTATTCTAATTCTAGCAGGTATAATACTCCTGCTAGTCTGTCTATCTTAACAGGCCTACAACTTTACTATTCTTTAATAGCTAGCTAGCAAGCTAGTATAAATACTAATACTCTAGGGTAAAAGCGTATAAGTATCTTAAGAACACGTTACAAATATATTCTTATGCCTACGTTGTTAATAACGTATTATATAATTAGATCTAAACCTTAAAAAGTGTAGTACCTAAGAAAATTCCACAAAGAGAACTATAAATAAGAAGCTATTATTATAGCCTTATTAAGCGCTTCTCTTTAAGGATTTATAAGGACTACTAGGTGTCTTATTATCCTATAATAAGGACTGTAGTAAATTAGGTAGGGAGCAAAACTTAAATATGTTTAAAACGTGTTAATAACAAGTTAGTAAATTATAGAACAGGCTTAACTATATATTAGCTGTTAGAACTATAGCCTAATATCTGCTACTAGGAAAAAATATTATTTTAGTTAGGTACTACTAGAGGTAGACTCTATATATCTATAAGGTCTTCTAACTAGGGAGATATTAAATCTTTCTAGTAGTCCTGCTTTATATTCTATAGTTAAGCTATAGTTAAGCTAGATAAAGAAGTGTGGTAGGCATATTGCAACCTATTCCTAACACATTCCTAATATATTCTAGGCGTTAATTATCCATAAGGGCAAGGATCTCTGTTTAAAATCCTGTGTAAAGTTACCTTCTAAGTAATTATACTAATAGATATAGTAGTAATACCTTTTTTTGCTATTATTTCTTTTAGTATATATACATATATACCTCCTCCTCCCTTAACACTATCTAATAGTAATATTAAGGAAGTAGTAAAGGTATTATAGCCTATACTTACTCTATAGCTTACGTAATATAAGTTGTTTGCAACCTGTTATAAATGTGTTCCTAACTTGTTATAGCCTAGTTCCTAAACTTAACCTAGCTCTAAACCTATCTCTAACTTAAAGGTTTCTATTCTATTAAAGAAATGTATATTAGCTTTATAAATAAAGATAAAATCTTACGTATTATAAAGCGTAAAAAGCTTCTATAGTTCCTATTTAAGAGTAGCCTTAGAGGAGTATACTATAAGTAGAGGATAAAGCATTAGGATCCTAAAACTATACGTAGTGTAAGAGAACAGGTTTAGAACACATTGCTAACACGTTACTACAGGCGTATATACAGTAAATCTTTATATTAAGCTTAGGTAACTTAATTATTTACCTTTTTAAAGAGCAGGTATTAATTCTATTAGATTAAGACACGTTCTAGATAGATATGTTATATAAGAGGTTATATAGGGCATAGGCAGAGATTCTAATAGTAATCTTCTACCTATAGGAAAAGAAGCGTACGTATTAAGAATAGGTTTGTAACACGTTTCTAACACGTTACAGTTATTACACTTAGCTGAAATCTATTATAGATAAGGACATAACTAAGATGTATTAAGTTGCTATTACTAACTTCTTTTAGAAGTGTAAAGCACTTATAAAAAGACAAGTGTTATAGAGGTATATTTACTTATAGGGATTCTATAGGACTACTATTAATATATATAACAAGTAGATAACAGGCAAGTTTCACGGCGCACCACAATATGTTTATAACGTGTTTCTAACTTGTTTCTAGGACTTAGGCGCTATCTCTAGTTAATTAATCCCTATAAGTATAACTAGCGCTAGTAACTTTAATCTTGTATAAGATTTTGTTAAGTATATCTACAAAGAAGTATTTACAAAGCATATAAAAGAGAGCTAGATAATACTACCTCTTTACGTCTAAGTAAATTACTACAGGCATTAATAGCAGAGGAATACTTTTAGCTTGCTAACCTCCTCTTACGTAAGTAAACATATTCTAAACCTGTTCTAAATGTGTTCCTAACTTATTCTTACATAATTAGAACACAAACCCTCTAAAGATGCCTAAAACTAGGCAATCTATAAGAAAAACCTAGTAATTGCTACTAGGATTATGCAATACTATAGTAAAATATTAAAAGAGGTATAGGAAAAACTAGAATCTTATTTAAATGTAGCTAAGCAAGCAGGCTAGAAAGGATATAAAACTAGTAAGCATATAAGTATTCTTAAGGCTACTTAAAAGTAAGTTTATAACCTATTCTTAACCTGTTAGAATTGTATAAGTAATATTGTGTAGTACATACTAGATAGATCTATAGGATATAAAAGAGTTTAAAGCCTAGAGCAAGTTTAGAATACGCTATAACTATAGAACTCCTAATAGGCTTAAGCAAAGGTACCTTAAAAAGCTTTAGAGGGGAGAAAGTAAGTCTTACGCTAGCGTTATATACATTCACTAATTAAAACATGTTTAAAACGTGTTTAGAATGCGTCCTATAATAATAATAATACTCTAGATAATAATAAAGCAAGTCTTGCTATATCTAACTTAACTAGATATATCTTAGTCCTAATAAGAAATAAAAGAGCACGCTTAAAAGCCTAAAGCTAGAGGGCAAGTAGTAGAGTAGTATTAGAAAGAAGTTTACTAGCCCCTTTTCTATCTTCTCTACTACTAGGCTCTTCTCCTCTACTAACAGTAACCTAAAGGTATGCTTCGCGAAATATATTTATAACATGTTCCTAACTTGTTATTAGTCTATAACTACAAACTTTACAATAAAAGGCTCTTCTTAGTAATTAGGCTCTAAAGGAGAGAAAAGAAAAGCTAGAGGTAGATAAAGAAGAACTTGCATAGAAAAAGGCACTATTTAAATTACAAAAGGCACAGTTTAAACTTAAGAAAGAGATAGCTACTTTTTATACAAGGCAGGGTTAGTCTATAAATATAGTAACTAGTTCCTAACTAGTTCTTAATATATTCTAGTCTATTACGTAAGTATATATAAGTAGATAAATATATATTCTTTCTTCTTCTCTTTCTTCTTCTTTCTTCTTACACTCTATAAGAACTTTTTATATTTAAGAGTTTAATACTATTTTACTATCTATCTTTCCTAATATTATTAGATATAACTAGTTAATATAGTCTATAAAGATCTTTTAAAGTTAGTATGTAATAGAACGCGTTAGGAACACGTTGTAAACTTATTCTAACACTAAGTAGGATTTATACTAGCGATATATTAAGCTTAAGTTACTTCTATCTAATACTAGGGCATTCTCTCCTGTAACATCCTACCTAAATAATAGGTGTATAGTATTTCCTAGCGAGCTTTTCTACTAGGCTATTTAGGCTAGATTAGGGGTACAGGAACTTTATAAAGTATGTATACATGCGAGTTAGAACACGTTTACAACATATTAATAACTATTTTAGTGTTGCTTCTCTAATAGAGGTAATCTTATCTACTACCTTAAGAGGTATTATCCTAAGGTTTAAATAGCCCTAGTAAACTATAGTAGAACCATAATACAAGGCATTATAGAAGCAAGGATCTTCTATAGGAGCTTAATAGTAAATGCTTAAGAATGTGTTCTAAACACGTTAATAATACGTTCTCTGCTAGTAGAGTAGACTACACTAAGTGCCTCCTCTAAGGTTTAAGAACCCTCTAAGATAGCTAGTCTATAATAAGAAGTGGTAGCTAGAGTAGAGGCTAAAGAGGAAGTAGAGAGTAAAGAAGAGGAGCAAATAGTTGCTCCCCTTTATACTGTAAATAATATTTAGCGAAAGTAGCAAAAAGGAGATATAAGTCTAGTCTCTTAAAACATGTTTAGAATATATTAATAATACGTTATAGCTAGACACCTATAAATGCTAGATTCTTCTTTAATCTAAGGGACTACTAGAGCTTTGCAATACCTGTAAAAGTTAAAAGAAAAAGTTATATACTATTAAAGGACCCTATAAAAGTAAATAGTACTTTACTTTTAGTAGATAGAAAAAAAAAGAGAAGAGTAGAGAGTTTATTTTAGTAATTACTACTACCCCTTTAGGTTATATGCTATTATATATTATTTATTAGAACCTATTCTTAACACGTTCTTAACGTGTTCCTACTTATTACTATTATTATCTCCCTCCCCCTCTTTAGTATCTTCTCTATTCTCCCTATCCTCCCTAGGCTCTACAAAAGTATACTATAAGTAGAACTAGGTAGTATTCTAGCAGGAATTAGCAAGGTCTACACTAGTATTAAAGTAACAGTCTTAAAACACGTTAGGAACAGGTTAATAATATATTGTGAATAACTTACTATAGCTAGGATAATTATAAGTGTAGATAGTATAAGGAACCTAATAACCTTAAATCCTTAGTAGGGTAGATATAGTAATAAAGTTAAGCTATAACAAGTTAGCAACGTGTTTTTAATAGGTTCTTACAGGCTGTACCTTATTACTATTGCAGCTACTGTAAGTCTTCTTCTAAATTATATTTAGGAGGGTATTAGTATTTATAGGGGGGCCTATAGTAGCTACTAGCTAGGCTTAGAGAACTTCTATAAAATATATTAGCAACAAGTTTTAAATATATTCTAAATAACTTATAGCAAGGAGTATTCTAGTAATTATATATAACCTTTATATAGAAGTCTATATATATTAGTATAATAAGTTAAGAATAGGTTAATAATATATTTACTCTTTACTTTGCGGACCTCTATTATAGAGGGCTAGCTAGTCTTCTTAACCCTACTAACCTTATAGTAGGCTATGTTAAGCCTATAATCTTTTTTAGCATAGGTACACAGAGTGCCCCTAGTACCTAGAATAGCCTAAGAATGTTAGAACCTATTTAGAACACGTTTAGAACCTATTCTTACTCTGCACAAGGTGCCCTTATTATTAATCTTAGTATAGTAGTAGCGCTCTCTACTCTCTATCTTAACTACCCTATTAGGGCTAACTATAGGCTATGCCCTAATATTATCTAGGACGTGGCTAAGGGCAAGGTACTATTAATAGTGCTTCTATAACCTATTAAGAACATGTTCTAAACACGTTTTAATCTACTTACGTAGGATAAGAGGGATATATTAGTAATAGGTATAGTAGCAGCAGCTTATAGTATTACTAGTATAGAATATATTTAGAATAGGTTTAGAATGTGTTGCAAAATCTTACAGTATAATGTTTAGTTAACCTCGCTTAGCTAGCTAGTAGAGCTTGGCACGGCCTAACCCCATGCTGAATACGAGTTCACGCAGCGCTAATTCTATGGTCATATGAACTGCGCCCTCGGTTGAGATATTGTCTGCAGTTTCAGCATTCGCGCGGCGGCGATAGCACCCAAAAACGTGATCTGTTTAAGATCCTTGGATAGCTAGTAGTGGTGGAGTTGGTCTCAAATTTCAAACATAGTCATATCATCAAAGTATCCTGTGCATAGAGATGAGTGATCCTGGCATCGAATGTGATTTTTCAAAGTCAGCCACCTGTTGTGTCGATGGTAAGACATCTTGTGATGCTTTATTGCTCTACAATTCCCTTGGTCTTTTCGTAGCCTATTTACAATGGGTATAGGCTTTGTGACAGCGTTGCGTGATTTGTTTCAGAGCTGGCCACTGGCTGCAGGTGCCGACTGAGGCTGACCGTATGTCAGGGCTTATGACTAGTGAACAGATTCAATTGTGGTGATTGCGTAGCCATTACTACCATGGCATGGAGGCTTGAGAGTAGATCGGACCATGTGACAGCATTTCAATCGATTGACATCGCATAACACATATTGCGAATCCTCTATCGGCTGTTGCTCTCTCCACTCTCTTGCCCACTTTCGGCCTTGTCCCCCTTTGTTACTTCCTTGTCGCCAGAACCACTCCCACCACCTTTGTAATGACTGCCCTCTTTTCCAGGCTCGAAGATGGTGTTGCCTGAGCTCAGTCATCTGTGTTAGTAAATGACATGTGAAGTGGCTGGGGAGGATCGCATGCACGACGCACAATGTGCCCAAGCGCCATCCTTCGTCAAATCAGCCCCAGCACCACATTCGGGACATTTGACCATGGTAGGAAGTGTAGAGATCAACTTCACTCTTCAGGGAGAGGGTTTTTTGAGATTCGTATGTGCTAGTGATGTGATGGAGTTTCCTCTGTGGATTGAGCTAAGAGGATGAGGGTTGGAGCGAGAGTCTCGCCAAGATGAGGGGCTGGATGTCATTGATATTGCTCCCCGACCACTCACAAATGTGAATCTACACTTCTACTCTTCCCTTATCACCGGTAATGGCGAATATTCACATCTACATGCTCTGTACTAGAAGCATACACTAGGTGCATGTGTCGGATGTAGATTCAATCGGCAGATGTTGCCCCTGCAGTAAGCGCATCGGAATAGAGTTTGTTGTAACTACTCTACGAATACAAGCTGCCAGGGAGATTGGAGCATCCTTGGGGAATCCAGCAGGATGGAGATGCATCTTACCTTCAAGCCATTACAGCCTATAGTGCTGCATCCGCTTTCGTCCGAGCCGCAAAGTCTACTCACCCGCCCCCGCCCTTTCGGCGGTGAACCACAACTCGCCATACAACCGACTACTCAACCTCGTTAGTCCTAGTCTCAACCAGCGTTTGGGCTTTGACGATTGTTATGCCACTCATCGGGCTGCATCGGTTTACACATCACAGCACATCAGATGCGATAAGTAGGTTCGACCTGAGTACCTTACCTTACCTTACCGGAATCCTTGTATCGTCTAGCTTGATTAGCCGATTGGATATGACTATACAAGCGAGCGAGGCACCTCGAGCCGATGTCTCTGAAGGATTGTTATTCTTGCAGTAGGGTATTCCTAACGTTGCACGTCCATCTAAAGCGATGTTATTCTGCTTTTACACCTTCCATCAACTCAATCGGTCTCAGGATTACATCTGCAGTATGATCCGACTAGTACACTAGCATGCAGTCAAACAGCGCATCAGACCAGGTTCTCTATTTATGCACAATAGAACCATTGATCACAGCTATCAGCCTTATGGATTCAAGGGGGATCTACACGGGCAGGGAAACAAGGCCAAAATCGCTCTGCCGCGTCAGTTTTGCCAGGAATCTGAATCACGGCATGGAAGCACCCACCTCATTGCGCCCCTCACGGTCTCTACACACCCGCTCCTAAACGGTTTTGGATACAGATCGATGAAAATCTAGACTCAAACACATTGGTATCCGCGGGGAAGCTGGCCCCCAACAAGGACGCGACGCGAGTTCTCTTGGTTCGCAGGCATTTGTACCAAATCAGCTATTCTATTCACTCATCGTAAACGCATGGCGCATGGCATATGTTCCTCTCCCTGTCAGAGAATCTTGAAGGCTTGGACCCTTGTGTACGGACAGAACCGCTTCTGGTATTTCATGCCCGACGGCCACAGACGGATGGAGCGGTCCGCACATAGCGTCTGGGCTGCGGGAGGGAGATTTGGGGACCACGGTTGGATTTGGTCTTCAGACGGCTCACGAGATGTCTTTACATACTTTTACCTCCCAGTTGACCTTGCTTAGGGATTGTCTATCTACAAAGATTGTTCTTTAACTCTTGTACGCTACCATAAACTTCAAAGACGATCCAATGACAATTGGATTCAGGTAGTGCTCCAGACGACTGATACGACCTGACACGACTTTCTTCATTCTTATTAACCCAAAATATCATGGCGGACGCAATGGCACTGCCGCCATACTCGAACATTTCTCATATCTACTTAGCACCTGTGATTACTCTTGGAGTAATCACCTTGATGTTGGTCATTGCGCGCATATACACACGTCTGACTAGGACCGGGAGGCTACATACTGACGACTGGCTTATCGCAGTAGCAGAGGTGTGTCACTGAAGCTCTTCTCCAAGATCCTATGGCCACTGATGCTATCTTGACAGCCTCTTTCGATCGTTTCGATCGGTGTTGCCATCGCGGCGATAGATTCTGGTTGGGGTAAACCATCAGCTTACTTCACACCAAAGGAGCTGGTAAACACGATCAGACTCCAGTTTGTGTTTCAGACTGTGTGGATCGTTACGTTTGGCCTTGTCCGTCTCTCCGTCGCATATTCGTTGCTACGATTCGGAAACGATAGACTATGGAGATGGCCGCTGTACTTTCTCATGATGTTGCAAGTCTTGATCTCTTCGAGCTACTTCATCATGCAATTCGCTCAGTGCAAGCCCATCAGCGCAAATTGGGACAATGTGCCAGGTGCGAAGTGCTGGGACCTGGGCCCGACGGTCACCTATGGCTACGTCGTTGCTGGTAAGCCATGACAAGATCGACAAGACGACATGTACTCACAGTTCGCAAGGATTCTACATTTTCACGGACGTCGTCCTTTCACTCATGCCCATTCGCCTGATCCGGACCCTACATCGCAGCACTGCCGAGAAGATCCTGATCGGTGTCCTAATGGCGCTCGGTCTATCTGCCACTGCCATTGCTTGTGCAAAAGTGAGCACATTCACAGATTTTGGAAAAGGCGACATAATGCAAGGGACGATTGTGCCTTCAGTGTATGCCAAGGTTGAGGAGCAAGTGGGCATCATTGCTTCTTCACTGCCTTGTCTGAAGGGACCAGCACAGAGCCTCCTCAAGAAGCTGGGGCTATTGAAAGAACATCACTTGACAACGCCCAGTTTCGTTGGCGATTTCAGTTTGCCCGGGACGAGGAAGGATACCGCAAGGAGCAGCAGCAATGACACGCTGAATACGAAGGGCAAGGTTCGAGTCGACTCGGTAGCCGTAGCCTTGGGCAACAATGCAGGATCTAACTTGGCTCAACAGGGATATGGGAGCAACATTCGGTTGGCCGTATGATTGAATGAGCGACGTCTTTTCTTAGTACATATGATTGGCATATTAACCTCTGCAGGTTGCTTTTAGGGTTGAGATGTCTGCATGTATAATGACGTTACGGCCATGTTCATTAATCGCAGAAAGAGCTACTACCAGAACATTGCTGAATAACAGGGTGACGAGAAATATGTCTCCCGCCACGCATATCACGTGCCAGACATAACCACCCCCAAAGTGTTTCGAATCACACAGACATTTTCCAACGCGTCTGTATACATGAACTGATCCCACAAAATGCATAGGCCAAGTCCACGCAAGACAGGAAACATCTCGGGCTACATTCGTGCGAAACTCTGGATAATCTCGGCTAGACTTGTTTCTGTTACCTAAACTAGCGCCTCTTGTTTCCGCCTTGCTGTGCACTTCGCTTTGACCCGTTTGCTTGCGTGCGGAAAGCTCTGGACTGTGTGCCTTTTTCCTTTTGCATCGGTGGATGCTTTTGAGCTGATGGGGGCCTGGCTGATGTGTCTCCAACGGGCTTGGACAGGCTTCCTGAACTGTACCTACAGCTGGTTCTAGGGCGAGAAAAGCGGTGCAGTGTTCATCCATTGCACAAAGAATCGGCTTCAGCGTCTCCAACAATGGCATAGTTTGCCATGGTCCAGGGCGCCGGTAGTCCGGGGTGCATTTGGGTCGAGTCCCGATATAGGAAGGCTCCCCTTTGTGGTTGTGAGCCTTGCTTTCCTAGTTCGATGTTTGCCGGACGTCAACGTCAACCTCAACGTCTATACTTTGTTGACGCTGTTTTCCTTTTCGACTTTGGACATTACACTGCCAACTGTCGTCGCTGATCCACGTCTAGCTTGTCTGGTCATCCGTTAGACGGTACTCTAGTCACTACCCCGTTTTCTTCTTCTCCTACGGTACTTCTCCTGCTTCTTCGCCGTTCTCCTAGATCGGGCTGTCCACGCATCGCCCTCGCGCCACACAACAATGCCACCATGGGACCCTCTGGTCCCAGCCGAACGCTACCTACAGCGTAACCTCGCCCGGCTCCCCAAACCACTCAGTCACTGGCTCGGCTATCGCGAGAAAGCCGCACCGACGTCTCCAACCTGGATGGTCTGCGTCTACGGCTTCATTGGCGCCTTTTGCGGTCTCAGCGTCATCCTTGCCATTTTCGGGCACAGCGAGTATTTTAAAAGTCGCGCGGTGCCACCGATTGTCGCTTCCTTTGTACGATCAAGAAGCTCGGCCATTATGGAACGTAGTCGTACATGAGCTAACATGTCCAAAAGGGTGCCTCTGCCATTCTCTGCTACGGCGCCATCGACGCCCCACTCGCCCAACCACGCTCCCTCATCTTTGGCCATTTCTTCAGCGGCCTCACCGGCGTCATCATGGCCACAATCTTCCAACTCAACCTCCAAGAAGACGAATTCCCAAACCTGCAATGGCTCGCCTGCAGCCTAGCCACCGCCTTTGCCCTCGTCGCCATGCATCTCACAAAGACGACGCATCCGCCCGCCGGCGCAACGGCGCTGATGCCCTGTCTGGACCCTAATATCTGGGCCCTGCGTTGGTACTTTTTGCCCGTTTTGCTGTTGTCATCGGCTGTTGTTCTTGTTACGGCGTTGATGGTGAATAATATTCAACGCCAGTATCCACGGTTTTGGCTTGCTCAGCTTCCTCCGCCGCAGTCGCAGCCGCAGCTGCAAAATGATGAACATCGCCATCGTAAACCGCCCTTGGAGGACGCTTCTTCTGTGGGTAGTCCGCATAGTGCATTGCGTGAGCTTGAGAGTGGGCAAAGGACTCATTAGGCTGACTCTCTTCTGGACTATGAAAAAGGGAGGGAGGGTTCCCTTGATGACGTTACCACACACACCACCATCTGCATCATCTGCATCATCTGCATCATCTCATCAACCGCTTGTTTGTTTTTTAGTTCTGCATCAGTTTTGGACACCATTTACATGAGCAAAAGGCGTTTAGGTATCATTTTTTGCACCGGATAACATTGAATATATAGTCCTCATCCGCTTCTCGTGTACCATAGTCTATATACCAAAAAAGGGGTGTTTATTAGCAAGATTTCCATTTCTCATACACACTGGACAACATGACGCCAAGTTAAACCACACAGTTCTACCTTGGTCCAAAGAAAGGGGGGTCAGGAGAGCCTGTTATCCACAAGGTTCGTTGTGTTTGACGGCTGACAAGAACGTTTCACCCTTTGAAGTTCACATTACAAATCTCATTCAATCCTTGAATACACCGCCCATGTCCAAAAAGTAAAAACTCGCACGCCCATCTCTACATCTACCCATAACTACACACATCCCCAGGCCCACTATGCACTATCTAGAAGCGTGGCACACAATTATGCGCCCGCGGTATGCCTTTACCCATGCGCCGATGTACTTGTAGTCTCCATGATCCATTTCAGATCGGGGTATCAAAAAAAAGTAAGGAAAAAAGAAACGAAAATACCTATCCCTGTAACTCTGTACAATATATAAAGGAAAAAAGATCTGGGGCACCAAGATTGTGGTACGTGTTCACATGATCAAGCCACAGTGAACAAAAGATCTGGAAATCAGGGTAGATGGATGTAGATAGCTGTGAGGCAAAGAGTCCCTAGGACATGCCAAATAGATATCGCAACTCGCGCACATCGAGGCGGGTCAAACTCTTGGAAGCCTGCTCATCCAGGGCCGCGCCAATGATTTCTCGCTTCTTGTCCTGCAGGACGCAGATGCGATCTTCCACGGTTTCGGGGACCAGCACGCGATGAACGTGCACCTCGCGTGGCTGGGGCATGCGATGCGCACGATCGACAGCCTGGTCTTCGATGAAGGGGTTCCAGAAGGGGTCGAGGACGATGACCTGGGAGGCCTTCCAGAGATTGAGACCGGCGTTGCCAGCCTTCAGCGATACGAGCATGACGTTTTCGTCGGGGTCGTCCATGAAGGCGTTGACGGCGTCGGCACGCTCGTCCATCTTCATGCTACCGTCGTAGCGCTGATAACGGATCTTCCTCTGAGACAAAGGAACTTCGACAAGATCCAACAAGGAGGTGAACTGGGAGAATATCAACGTCTTCTCGGATGGATCATTTTCGGCGATTTCGGCGAGAAGCGCCATCGTCTTCTCAATCTTGGCAGATGGAATATACGTCTTTTCTAGACGGCGTAGATATTTCTTCTTCGCGGCCTTGCTGCGAAGAGAGTCCTTCTTGAGTTGGGCAAGCGTTTTCTTGGGCGTGGCACGCGCTTTCCCTTTTCCTTTTCCTTTGCCCTTGCGGCTTTTGGGAGGCCTTTTGTTTTCAACCTTGACCCTGGATTTCTGAGGAGTATCCAGTTCAGAGCCCTCGGCTTTAAAAAATTCAAATTCCTCCCCATCTTCTTCTTCTTCAGTAACTTCGTCGTCGTCGGAAACGACAAAGCCAGCAAGGTCACCCTTTTCATTAACATCCTCATCTTCATCGTCCTCTGAATCTGAGTCATCACTTCCATCCTCACTGCTATTATCGTCATAGAGGTCAGACGCGTCCAGCTTTTCAGGGCAGTGGACTTTGCAGAAGTGCTTATAATCAGTGATAAGCTTGGCGTGCAACTCTCCACGGCACTGTGGACACTTTGCAGCTTGGACACCCTCTTCGTTCGGTTCTTGCCGAGTGGGATCGACCAGTTTCTGAACACATTCGCCACATACAGTGTGACCACAGGGTATTATGATAGTCGCATTAGGATCTGCTTCCAGGCAAATTGGGCACTCGAATGAGCTGAACGCCTTCAGTCTCGCAACTACATGATTCTCAAGCATGCGAGCGCGTTCGAGAAGATCATACTCGTCGATACCCTCAGTAGCGGGCTGACTTAGATCCTTAATCAAGTGAGGGTGACAGCAAGCTTGGCGAAGTCTCAACAAGAGACATAATACGTTCGCATAGTTCGCTAGAAGGAGGTCAGCATATCCTCTGCAATTCAATCGCACCTGCAATCATGTTGTTATGGCGTGACCCACCAGTGACAGCGTTCCTCTCTATGAACCTGTTCATCTGCAATTGCGACTTTGTCTCCAGCGCCTTGTACAACTCATGCTCGGCATCACTGAATTCGACGTTGGCTGTGGCTGTGTGCTTTGGTGGAATCGTGCACACTTCTTGACCATCGACCTTTGAAGACTTTTGTCGTCGAAGCATTACCGATCGCAGGAGAATCTGAATACGATTCATTGCTTTCTTGCGGGCGTTTGGGTGCATTTGCTTGACAGGCTATGGTCGAAATCAGTACAAGCAACAAACCCGAGAAATGGCTGACTAGTAGGTACCTTGCCAATATCGTCATTAAATCTGCTCCACTCGCTATAGGGATGAACCTTCAAGAAGCGAAGCAGAGGATATAGCTCGTCAACAGAGTTCATCATTCTTGGGCACTATCAGTACAGGGCTCAATTCCCAAAAAGAGTTACAAAACTTACGGGGTACCAGTCATACATAGGCGATGACGTGCCTGTAGATCAGCAGCAGCCTTCGATGACTTGGCATTGCGGTTCTTGATATTATGAGCTTCGTCAATGATGACGCGATACCTGCAAGGCTAAGGTTAACAGCCATCAAGCAGATATCTAGAGAAGACCTACCACATGCACTCGCGTCCCAACAATGCGAGTTTATCCTTGGCCTTGCGTTGAAAGCGAGGATCTTTCAGTTCCTTCTCCACAAAACTCGACTCTTTACGCGCCTCTTTCTGCTTGAACTCAGAGGTAAGTGTACCGAATGTCGTCAGCACCACGTCGTAGGTGCGAAGGCGTTTGAAGTCGACGTTCTTACCGCTTCCATGATACAGATATACAGTGAAACGATGGCGAGGAAGGACGTGGCGTTCGATCTCTTTCTCCCACTGACGCATCAGAGCAACGGGCGCAATAATCAAGGTGGTTTTACACAGAGGGTCTTGTGACCGATTGGCGCACATGAGTGAGAGCGCTTGCACCGTTTTACCAAGGCCCATCTCATCGGCAAGAATGCCGCCTTTGGCATTGCCGTGCTCCATCTTCAGTAGCCAGGTAAGACCAATCTTCTGATATTCCTTGAGAGTACAGGCCATAATCGCCGGAGTAGGCTCCCGGTCCCCAGGGGTCTCGCCGTGGTCCTTGATGTTTTCGAAAAGCTTCTCAATGGCGTCCGCTTCGACACCAGTCAGTGGGGCCTCGCCATAATCTTCTGCGTGGGCGTGGGCACCGGCTGCCCACGCCGGCCACTCTAGGCCAGGGAAATAAGGTACCTCCTGGTTATTGAAACCATTCCGAAGCTGTGGCTGTGGCTGTATCAACTGCTGGAACCCGTAGCCTCCTCCAGGCTCAGTTGGTGCCACCATGAACGAAGCTAGGTCCTCGATTCCCATCCACTCCTGGTTGAACGCATCGGCTCGATGGTCTGTGGAACTGCCATCATTCTGGCCTTGGTTAGGTACTCGGTAGGCGTTGACAAGCTCAGGAAACGGATCTGGCGTGGCTGGATTTGACTCGGTGGAATCATCGTATATGGGTCCAGTGAGATCTATGAAAGCGTTTGGTAGTGTACGAGTCGGCAGTGTCTCTGTGTGATATGCCTCTGTCTTGATTGAGGCCTCGGGTGCGTTTGGACTCGGCAGCACACGAGTTGGCAATGTCTCCGTATAATAAGCCTCCGTATTGATCAGAGCCCCAGGCGCGATCGGACTATATGGTTTCCTTACACGTTTCGAAGCCCGCCAATCAGCATCAAGACGATGCTTGCGTTTGAGTAGAGGAAGGTCCTGCTGTTCTGCAGACCGCTGCAGGTCGTCCAGACTGCGAGGCGACGGGCTCTGCGCCCCGTTGTGGTAACTAGACGGGCCGGCCATTGCCTCTACCTGTCGCGCCTCTTGTACTCGCTGGTGGAGATCGTGCAGGACAGCCTGGTAATGTGATCTTTCGTTTATAGAATCGGACGTGTTTACGACTAGGGTGATGGCTTCGATGTAGCCTTCCAGCTCGGCAATGGTCATGGACGGCGGAGCCGAGTTTTGTGTGTCCATGATGGGTTTTGTCTCCACACACGCACCGGGTGGTGAGGGCGTGAGAATGAAAGTGAAGGTGATGGGCCGGCTGAACGGGGCGATGGCCAGATGTAATCAACAGGCGAGGTCGTGGAGCCGGTCGTGGCTTCGTGGCCGGGTGGTTGTCAGGCGGCAGCAAGGCAGCGGGCTACTACTATGGCATGTATAAGCAGGCAATGAAGATTCTATAGTGACGTGAGGTGAGAAGTAGCCAAAAGCGAGTGTAACCATCAAAGGAGAGCGAGCACATGTACCAGGCTGACACCTGTGCCTGCCGTGCTCAAGCGGGCCGGCCGTCTACCTTGTGAAATGAGGCAGTCGCAACCAAGGACGCGACGCGAAGGCTTACGGTACCGGTACCGGTAGGTCGCGTACCGTAGAACGACGACGGATGCGCGAAACAGATCAGCTAGGTAACTTAGGAGACAGAGCGAGAAGGCTTAACGGCCAAAGGGTAAAGCCATTACAGCATCAGGTGCTGCTACTGCTGCTGCTCTCCTGTCCAGAGAACCATCCAGAGATCATTGGCAGCCTCGTGCGGTTGGAGGGGTTGAAGTCGCGTCGTCTCGGTGCGCCCGTTCATTATCGATAGGCTCGTAATGGCTCCCACTCTCCGCCCGAGAGATCGCTTGGACGACCGGAAAGGCGCGCAGTGAAGCGAGTTTGATGGTCGATCGTGGGCCTATGGCTATGTGCTACTGCACAGGGCATCCTCTTCTCCGTTGGGCTGAACTTGCACTGAGTTGACCAAAACAGCTGAAGGGCTTGGGACTTTCTGGTTGAGCTACCGGTACGGTATGCTTCCGGTGAATGGGAGCAAACCGCCTCGGCTTAGCGCACCTGTTGTGCAACAAACGTCCATCCTGGCCTGGCACATAGCCGCACGTGCACATCACCAAACTCCATCTGCTCACACGACTTTGTTTGTACTTTGGGAATTAGGGTCAGTCAGTCAGTCACCTGGGCCACTATACATATGCAGAAAGCGCTAGATGACTTCAACACTTCGACTTCAACACTTCGACTTCAACACTTCGACTTCAACACTTCGACTTCAACACTTCAACACACACACAAAAGGCCAGTAGATTCATGGTAGCCTAGCCACAGAGATGACCGCCTGACACCCTTCGCACAACCCTCTTTCTCGGCTAAACACACAACCAAAGCCAAACATACATAACCCAGCAAAGTCAGCAAAAATAGCAGGCCAGCGATGGGAAAACGCCGAATATGCAATGAGTTATCGGCGATATAACTAACAAGGATACAGAGTAGGGATGGAGAGAAAATAGATGCCCCTCTGCCCTCTGCCCAAATTCTCTAACGATGCCGGTTCCCCGTCCAGCAGACTCTAGAACGCCAAACAGCCGATTCCCGGTTAACAACCCTCGTTCGCCCGAACATGCTTCTCCTCTTCTCACGCACTCGTCGCGCAGTCGGTATACGTATGCGCTACAACAGACGACCTTCTGCCTCTGCTCATGGTTCCGGTTCTGGTGGTCCAAAGAGTCGGCTCATTCCAGCCTTCTCCTCTTCCTTGTCGAGGTTCAGCTACTGTGGCTGCGAAGTAACAGCTGAATTTGTCAGGAATTCAACTTACAACGAAGTGGACAAGGAACGTACTCTCTCGACACTGTTGTTATCCGTCTGATCCACTGCCAGTAGCCTTGGGCTATCAGCCCCGCCCCGCTCCGTGTACCCCCTAGTCTCGAGCTGTGGTCGCTTCTTAGCCGCTGGACTCGAACTACCCGGCATTTGAAGGTCCGGTAGGTGATCTCGCGCGACGTGATTGCCGCCACCGAGGGTAGCACATCGAAGAATCGTCTGGATGAGCTGGTTCTGCCGCAAAGGCTTCGAGAGGTAGTCCTGGGCAAGTCAGTAGGCTACAAAGCAAGAGGGTGACAATGACCTCTTACATCCATTTGGGCTGCAAGACACTTCTCGCGATCGCCCACCATGGCGTGGGCAGTCAAGGCAATGACTGATGTGGACGGAATGCCATTCTCACGTTCCCATTCGCGGATCTTGGCAGTTGCTTCGAATCCACCCTGGCACAAAATGTTAGCAGCCATCTTGTGCAATTACCTTGCATTGCACACTTACCATAACAGGCATCTGCACATCCATGAGAACGCAGTCATAGCGTTTCTTCTGGATATGCTCAAAGGCCTCGAGACCATTGTTGGCCACCGTCACCCGGTGATGATACTTCTCCAAGATCCTCACTGCAAGCTTCTGGTTGACGGCGTTGTCTTCGGCTAGCAGAATATTGAACGACTTCGAGTGGTCCGAGACCAGTGGCGCAGCTCGCCCATCAAGAGCTGGAATGAGCGCATTACCCAAGTCAATCGGCAGGCATGGCGTGGTCATGTAGCTAGAGATACCATTCTCGAGCGCAGACCTCAGGCTGACAGTGATGTGCGGTGTAAGCACGACAAGCGGGATGTACTTGAATCGCTCAGCAATCCTGAGCTCCCTGGCTGTCCTCTCGTTGTCCACGATGACACAGTCAAAGGGCATATCCGCTTTGGTCGCAGTGTCTGGCACCTCATCCACTCCCTTGACCACCATGGGCACAAGTTCAAGAGCTTTGATATGCTCAATGATCTGCTCCGAGAAGTTGGTATTGCCTTGGTCGACAAACAAGACCGAGTGGCCCTTGTAGGCCATGAGCTGGGGTTGAATCGCAGAGATCTCGGGCTTGCCAAGACGCACTCTACACGTGAAGTAGAAGACACTGCCCTTGCCAAAGTCGGACTCCACCCACATGCGTCCGCCCATCAACGTGACCAGACGCTTGGAGATGGACAGACCAAGACCGGTACCACCGAATTTCCTCGTCGTTGATCCATCCGCTTGCTGGAATGTGTCGAAAATGAGGTTGAGCTTATCGCCACGAATACCTATGCCAGTGTCCGATACGGCAAACTGAAAAACGTACTGGTCCGGCCCGCATTCTTGGTCTTGCGCCATGGAGATGGCGACCTTGACCTCCCCCAGCTCAGTGAATTTGATGGCATTGCCAACCAGGTTGAGAATAATCTGTCGTAACCTGAAGGAGTCGCCAATAACGTAATCCGGCACCTTGTGGTTGACATCGTACGCCAGGTTCAACTTGCGCTCATTCGCCCGTGAAGCCAACGACTTGAGCGCGTTGAATAGGGTGCCCCTCATGGAAAATGGAATCTCCTCCATGACCATGCGGTTTGCCTCAATCTTGGAGATGTCAAGAATGTCGTCAATGATGGTGAGTAATTGTCCAGCCAGGTTGTGCACAATGGTCAACATCTCGCGTTGTGCATGCGTCAAATCCGTGTCCAGCGTCAACTGTGTCATTCCAATGATTCCGTTCATGGGCGTCCTGATCTGAGTCCACAGTTAGTCTCTGCTCAATGTTCAACAACTTGTGTGAGCGAACAAAAACGTACCTCGTGCGACATGTTTGCCAAGAATTCTGATTTGGTTTTGTTGGCCAATTCGGCAGCCTCCCTTGCGGCCGTGTTGCGCTGAATACTTTCACGTAAACTGGCCACCATCTGGTTGATCTTGCGCTTCAACTCGTCCATTTCGCCCGAGGCTTCGACGGTGATTTGCGTAAATTTGCCCTCCATGGCTGCGTTGGTGATGTCGCCGAATGCTCGCACTTGCGATGTAAGGTTTTGGGCCATGGTGTTGACGTCTGTCGTGATTTCCTTCCATCTGCCGTCAATATCGCGGACGTCGGCCTGACCGCCCATCTTGCCATCCACACCCACATCGCGAGCGACGCGTTTCACGGCGAGTGACCATTCGTCCAGCCTCATCACCATGTCGTTGACGGTGTCCTTGAGTAGGCGAATTTCTCCCTCGGCGTCCACGTGGACTCTCCTGCTCATGTCTCCTTTGGCAATCGCCTGTGTGACTTCGGAGATACTTCGCACTTGCAGCGTGAGGTTTTGCGCCATCGTGTTGACATTGTTGGTTAGGTCCTTCCACTTGCCCTCGACGTTGTCGACTTGTGCCTGACCCCCTAGGATTCCGTCGGTTCCGACCTCGCGAGCGACCTTGCTAACTTCCTGTGCGAACGTATTCAAACGGTCCACCATGGTGTTGATGGTAATCTTGAGTGACAAGATCTCACCCTGTACCTCGGCCTTGACTTTTCTGCTCAGATCCCCTCGCGCGACAGCTGTAGTGACTTCTGCGATTTCTCGCACCTGGGTTGTGAGATTCATGGCCATACCATTCACGTTTTCCGTGAGGTCTTTCCAGGTACCCTCGACACCATGTACTGTAGCCTGTCCGCCAAGTCGACCTTCGGATCCGACTTCTCGTGCTATCTTGGTGACTTCGTGTGCAAATTGTTGCAACTGGTCCACCATGCGATTGATGGTCAGTTTCAGGTCCAAAATCTCGCCCTTGCATTCAGCCTCTACTTTCTGAGTGAGGTTGCCTTGTGCCACAGCCGTCGTTACCTGTGCGATGTCTCGTACCTGTGTCGTCAGGTTTTGCGCCATGGCGTTCACATTGACCGTGAGTTCGTTCCACATGCCCTGCACACCCGCAATCTCAGCCTGCCCGCCAAGCTTTCCTTCGGTGCCGACATCTCTGGCCACTTTTGTGACTTGGGTTGCGAACGACTGGAGTTGGTCCACCATGGTATTGATCGTTTGTTGAAGCTGTAGAATTTCGCCCTTGGCGGGACGTTCAATCTTTCGGCTGAGGTCGCCATGGGCGACAGCAGTTGTGACTACAGCAATCTCTCGTACTTGCTGCGTCAGGTTGTTGGCCATTACATTGACTACGGCGTATGTTAGGAGTCGGCCCGAATGAGGGAACGTAGGGATGACGACGTACCACTATCGGTCAACTCGGCCCAAATGCCAGCAACGCCAGGCAGATTGGCCTGGCCGCCAAGCCTTCCCTCTGTGCCGACCTCTCTGGCCAAAAAAGTGACTTGACTGGCGAATTCTTGTAGCTGATCCACCATGGTGTTGATTGTGCGTTTGAACAGAGTGATTTCCGGGTCCATTTCCTTGGCATGTATCAAGACTTTCTTGCTCAGATCGCCCATAGCGACTGCTGTGACAATCGCACCAATTTCTCGTAGCGCTTTCTGGAAGGCCAAGTTGGCTTGCTGGTGCCTGGAGGTGCGTGGTCAGCGTACAGAGGGTTAGTAGAGTCGTGGCGCGAGTTCTTACTTGCCCAGCTCCCGCTTGAGCGCTCCAATGTCCTCGATGCCGTGTTCGAAAACCATGTTCTGGGTAGTCAGTTGATTCTTGACTTCAGACGAAAGCTGTTCGATGTGTTGTCGTTGGTTCCTGATCTAAGGAGGAAGGAGATTAGAAAGTGGTCACTTTTAGCGGATGCTGCAACACTTGCCTGGTCTGCTTGCTGGTTGAGGTGACTGCGTAGGTAGTTGAGCTGCTCTTCGGTCAGGGCTGCAGCAGGCTCCTCAGCATCACCATTTGTTTCCTTTGCCGCCAACCAATTGGAGACCCATTGTGCTCTTTCCTTGGTTGAGCCTCGGCGTCCCTGGCCGGGCGGACCATTGCTGCGGAGGGAGCCCGCTGGGGTGGAGCCCAGGCCGTCCTCGGGGGGGTCTTGCGCAGGCGTGGGTGGGAGTACGCCTTGGTGCTGGGCTGCGCTGCTCTTGCGCTCAAGGAAGTCGACGCGGGCGCAGAGGGCGGCTATCTGCTGCTCCAGCTCGGTTTTCTCTGGACAGTCGGGGCCAGGTATGGAGATGGCGTTGGCAGCGTTCTCGGCACCATTGGCGGCTATTTGGGCACTGAAGGAAGATTCGCGAGTAGGGTCATGCTGTCTCGCGATGTTGGCGATCAGAGCCGTCACGCCTGCGTATGTGGCTGCGGCGGTTGCCATCGCGATGGCGAGGTGGACTGGCGAGTGGCGTGCTAGTTTCGCATGAGGGATGGAAAAGGACAGGCAGTGTTCGTGGTGGAGGTTACGGTCGTGGTCCGGGTCGGGGTTCGGGTTCGGAGTCGTGGTCGTGGTCGTCGTGTAGAGGAAATTACTTCTACTAGCACTACTGGTGCTACTGGTGCTACTGGTGCTACTGGTACTACTCTCCTACTGCAGAGGGATGTGGCGACAGGGCGGCGGGCAGCAGGAATCAGGCAGGCAGAGGCAGGCAGCCAGGCCGATATGTATGCGTGAGCCGGTGATATATCGCGACTCATTTTCGGTTAGGGTTGGACAAACGAGGATTGTCCCAGTAGGTGTGTGGTACTTTCTGGTCGTGTTAGTAGGTTTGCCCGGGATGGGATGGGATGGGATGGGGAGGGGGGGGGGGGTTGTCCTTGTGGTCCTTGTGGCGCGAGCAGAACGGGTTTGGCGTCACGAGGGAAGGGGGGTTGGTCGCAAGATATGGGAGATTTGGCGGCGCAACCACGAGAATGGTTGATGGGCTGCAGGCGGGCGGGCGGGTAGAGAAGCAACGGGGAGAGAGAGAAAGAAAAAGAAGAAAAAGAAGCGATGACGAAGAGCTAGGGTCAGTGGGCGAGGACGAGGGCAAGGAGGGAGTTAGGAAGAAGAAGCGGAAGAGTGGTGGTGTGCAACCTCTGGGCGGCGATCGCCAGTAATATCTCTCTATCCTGACAAAGCCCACAGCCCAAAGGTCGCGATCCTCCATACAGCTGTCAGTGAAGACGCTAGGCCACAAGAAGCTCCACCCTGATCCTTGGTCGTCTACCTAGTCAGATGGACTAGTCGGCCTTGTCCTACGGGTACGAAAGCAGATTGCTGCTGCAACGGCCGACCAGCGTTGCTTCCGCGCCGGTTACTCTGACTGTAGTAGCTAGGCTATTTGCCAGGTAGGCATGTAGTGGTAGAGAATATCCAAGTGCATACATAGTAGGTACCCTTGCCTGCAGCCGTCGCCTATTTGCTTGAATGTACCATGGTCTGAGTGGGTCTAGGTAGGTAAGTCTTGTTGGTTGGACAGTGGAGAGAGAGGGAGAGAGAAAGGAAGAAGGAGAGAAAGGAAGAAGGGGAGAAGAGAGAAGAGAGAAGAGAGAAGAGAGAAGAGAGAAGAGAGAAGAGAGAAGGGAGAAGAGAGAAGAGAGAAGAGAGAAGAGAGAAGAGAGAAGGGAGAAGAGAGAAGAGAGAAGAGAGAAGGGAGAAGAGAGAAGAGAGAAGGGAGAAGAGAGAAGAGAGAAGAGAGAAGGGAGAAGAGAGAAGAGAGAAGAGAGAAGGGAGAAGGGAGAAGGGAGAAAGAGAGCTGTGCACACAACAGACTTGTCAGCACATGGCTACATCATTCATGGTGTTTGTTATAACTAATTATTTCTTTTTCGTCATCTCATCTCGTCGCATCTCTATCAACATCCACCCCAGCATCAAGTTCGCGCGTCATAATGTGTAACGAGTCAATAGTCTAGTACACACCCTACTCCTACAGACAAACAAGACATTCTTCGTCTTCCAAGGCTCAGATCAAGTCTGTAACCGCCTCCAACATCGCCCAGCTTCTCTTGGCCTCGCTGTCCACCAACGACCTTGCAGTTATCCTCTCCATCCACAGTGCTACTCTAGATACCAACGAATACCTACCCAAAGACGCCCAAGCAGCCCCAGGTGAAAGGCATGCTGCAGCCCCCCTCCCTCCCTCCCTCCCCTTCCCCCGGCTGAACTCTGTCTTCTTCCCGCCGAGTAGCGAATAGGGGCATCTTCCTTTGCCACAATGGTCGAGGCCCTCGGGTGCTAATCAAGGCCAAGCGTCCGCTCCAACCGGTAAGTAACGTGCCCCTCCCTCATCCTCCTCCTCCTCCTCCTCCTCCTCCCATCCACCACCGGACCCTCAGCCCGCATCCCACCATTCGGGCAGAAAATGGTCGGCTGTGCTGGCAGCCTTCAATTTGCGCGCCGGGTTGATCCTCCCTAGCCTCGTGTTTGATCACCGCTGCCACAGCATACCGTACCTAATTGGTGTTTTTTTTTTGGCTCTCCTCTTGATTGTAAGAGTACCATGGCAGCTACATGTGTTTCAGATGGCAAGCTCCCCAATCGTAACGGGCGGATTTAGGAATATCTCCGCGTGATCAGCCATCATCTCATCCACATTGCCCATGATTGTTGCCCTCCCCCCTCGCCTTCGTTTGTCGTGTGGTGGGGTAAAACAAACGTGGATGCGCGGACTGGGATGGGAGGCAGCAGACAGCACACTTTACCACTTACCAGCTACCAGCATATGGTACTCTATTAGGACCTACCGTACTTCTCTGAGACGACTCACGCAAACGCCATCATCCTTACCCGCCCTGGAATCGGGTTCTGCCCCTCATGCGTGAGAGCACTGCCTTTTTGCCCTCTTTCAGGGTCTTCCCCGGCCAAACGGGGCAAAGAGAGCGAGAGAGAGAGTGTGTGTGTCTGCTTGGACACTGAAGACGGCACCGACTTTCCGACAAATGGCCACACTAATGGGCCGCTTTCCGCACGTGATTCCGCGTCTTCCGTCCTGTCCTCGATTGGTAGCCCTGGTGTCGGCCAACTACTCTACTGCATGACCAGCACCACCAACACCAGCTTCACCAGCTTCACCCAGCTTCACTTTGTCTTCTTGTTTTCTTCTCTCACCATCGCGAGCCAATCTCCTACTTGCACATCTTTCGCCTTGCGTGCGCGTCTGCAAGAGGGAGGGCAGCATTGCATTCCAAACATGGTTTCGGGGAATGGGAACAGCGCCCAACCATCCTGGCAGGGTCTGCCTGTTTACAAACGGCGCTTTCAAGAGGTTGGATGCCTCGTCAGGCATATCCTCGTGGACAGACCTTCCCATGCTGCTCTTGCATGCCTATCAGAACACGCATCTGTGCTCGATTACCTCTGCACTCGGACGCTCTTCTTGGATCGCGGGAGACGAGTACGGTAGGTTTGGTTTCGAGTGCAGTTGGTCATGTAAGCGCTATCGGCCGTGGAATTCGTATCTAAATGTCGGTGAAGGTACCGGTGGTAGGTATCAACCAGGCCACACTCCATCACATGACCTCGACAGAACTACGCCCATCCTAGAAGCTCTTACCGTCATAGCTCTTTGTTACAACAGAATTGGTTGCATATAATTAACAACCTTGTAAATGTTACACGTTTGTATACATTCATTTCATTCCGTCAAGATCACAACTTCAATCTCAACTGAATGAATCTTCATCGTTTTCTACATCTCTTTACACTGTCATTGGGGTGCCTACTAACTTTTTTTTTCTAACAACAAACCCCCGTTGATTCATCACTATTCTTATTCCACACATCGCAAGACTATCGCTATGACGCGAATCAATCGTTGGAGAGATGGCCGACTCGAGCAAATGGCAATACGAATATACTTCTTTCTACTCCTGGCCAACATGCACACTGGACACTGCACCCATCTACATGTTGAGAAAGAGCAATCCTTTCTATTCAGCCTCGCACTTCCTCCACTATTTCAAAGACATAATAGTAAAGAGCAGGCTCATCTGAACTTATCGGCGCAGCTAGTCAGCTACGAAGTCAATCTAATTCCATCTCAACCACATCACATCCACTATCGACTTGGTTCCAACCCAGTTCACATCAAGCACAATTGCTACCACCCCCATCGCTATCACACAGTCCATCCGTGCTGACTCGCTTGCCACCAAAATACACTTCTCTATACCATCGCTTACTACATCACCACTCTCGTCCCGCACAAGGCTCGCCACTTCTACCCCGTCACTGAGTCACGGTACCTGCCTCAGCGAACAGCGAGGCTCGTACATGTTCTTTTACATCCCAGGATACAGCTATCAAACAGGAGAACAAATGGCTGAACACCTAGCGAACGTAAGCGCGGCAGGGATAGCGGGCACTGCCGCCTTGCGACGACAAAGGGAGAGCTATCCCAACCTTATAGGCGCGGATGAAGAGCAAAGGAGCAGGCCTAGCTCAAGTGTCCGTGGTGCGTCGGATCAACAGGCCAGCTTGAGACGCCAATCGGACCCCTTTCAAGCATCGGCAGCAGAGGAAGCCACAAGTAGCCGTCCCAGCTCGAACACACCCTTTTCCAGATACTACGAGACGAGCTTAGGACGTGCCTCGACTCCTTTTGCATCATCATCCGTCCGTCCTTCTACACCAGCCATACTCGCCGAGGACCCTCGACCCAACTTCTTCGCCACCACCATCGCCACCCGTCCACAAACACCCGCCAACCCTAACCAACCCCCCATCCCCACGATACCCAGCAACCCCCCAGAAGTACCCTTTCCCACCGAAGCCATCCTGATCCCCGACCCAACCCAACCCACCACCATAGGCGCCACCCCCCTCAATACCACAGCCACCACAAACTACAACCGCGAAAACACAGACATCCAGATCCTCACCGCCGAAACCGCACAATTACTCCGAATAGTCCACCCTTTGCGCCCCAGCACCCAAGACACAGACCAAGACGACATCACCGCCGCTCTCCTGCCCCCCACCGCCCCCACACCCCTAGCCCTCATCAATAATAACAATAATAACCCGCACCACCCGGCCATCGACACCATCACCATCGCCCTCCACGCCGCAGCTAACCCCCCGCCCAACACAGACGCCATACCCACCCTCCTCCCCCGCACCCCCCAAACCCCGGCTACTCAACGCATCCCTCCCGCCCGCCCAGGCTGCAGATTGTACTCTGGGCGCGACAAGTGGCTCACGCGCGGGACGCGGGTAGCGCAGCATCCGCTGCCAGTAGGTGAGGCGTGTCCACTATGTCGAGCGGTGTTCAAAGTGCAAGAGGACGGGTCTGGAGGCGGGGATGCGGCGACGGCGGGAGTGGGCTCCGCGGTGCCGTTTGGAAGGGTGGCGATGACGGCGTTGCGGTGTGGGTGTCGTTTTCACAGGGAGTGTTTGTGGAGCGGGGAGGATCGATATTGTCCTTGGAGTGGGATGAAGGGGAGGAGGCGTGGGATTAGTGAATGAGATGCGGAGGTGAATCCCTCGTTGTTGTTCTTGT